TATATGTTAATAAAAAAAGGGACACACAGAAAAAAAAAAAAAGAACATGTCTTTCACCTGTTCCCCTTTGCAAAATTCCTCTCACCTTGAAGCTGTTACAGAGATTCTTTTTCTGCTCCCATGATTGTGCCTTTTCCACAGTATCTTAGTTATTGAATAATAGTCCAGCATGTAGTATTTTACATAAGGCTTCTTTCACTTAGCATAAAGCACTTGAGATTCATTCATGTTGTTGCATGTATCAATACTCCATTTCTTTTTATTGTTCAGTAGTATTCCACTGTATAGTATGGATACACCACAGTAAAATGGGAAGTTTAGTCAACCACTAGTTGATGGACATTTGGGTGGTATCCAGTTTTAGGAGACTATGAATAGAGCTAATATAAAACTTTACATACAGGTTTTTCATTTCTCTTGTGTACCTAGGAATGGGACTGCTGGATCATATGGTAAATATGAGTTTAACCTGTAAAATAATCTGCCAAACTATTTTTCAAAGTGGCTGTAACATTTTGCATTTGCACCAGCTATGAGGGTTCCAGTTATTCCGCATCTTCACCAGCATTTGGTATTGTCGGGGGTTTTGTTTTTTAATTTTAGCCATTTTAATGGTTATTCTCATTGTGGTATTATTTTACATTTTCCTAATGACTAAGGAGATTGAGAATTTTTTATGTGCTTTTTGAAACCTGTATATTTTCTCTGATGAAGTGCATGTGCAAATGTTTTGCCCATTTCTTAATTTGAATTTTTTTTTTATTATTGACCTGTGAGAGAATTCTTTCTATATCATGGACATTAGGCTTTATCAGATAAATATATGTGTATATACATATATATATTTTTAAAGATTTATTTATTTTAGAGAGAGAGAGACAGCTGAGTAGAGGGAGGGACAGAGGGAAAGAATTTTAAGCAGGCTCCCCACTGAGAGCAGAGCCCAACATGGGCCTGGATTCCAGGACACTGAAATCATGATTTGAGCTGAAATCAAGAGTCAGACACTTAAATGACTGAGCCACCCAGGCACCCCTCAGATATTTATTTTGTAAATATTTTTTTCCCAGTGTTTGGCTTTTCTTTTCATTTTCTTAACAATGTCATTTTAAAAGCATTTTTTAAATTTGGTGATACTCAATTTATCGTTTTAACATTTTTATGGATCATGCTTTTGGTCGGCTATATCTAAAAAGTCTATGCCTAACCACGATCACTATGATTTTTTTCCTATACTTTCCTAAAGAATGTTATAGTTTGTGGGTTTATATTTAAGTGCATGGTTAATTTTGAGTTATTTTTGTATGCAGTTTGAAGTATGGGTTGAGATTTTTGGTTTTTTGGTTTTGTTTTGTTTTTTTTTTTTCAAATGGGTTTTCATTATTCTAGCACTATTTCTTGAAATGGACTATTCTTTCTCCATTGAGTTGCTCTGGCAGCTTTTTCAAAAACCAATTGAACATATAAATATTCTGGACTCTCTATTCTGTTCTTTCAATCTACTTCTCTATCTTGATGTCAGTATCACATTGTCTTGAATTCTGTAGTTTTGTAATATGTCTTAAAATCAGGGAGTATAAGTCTCAAACTTTATTTTTATTTTTCAAAATGTTTTAGTTATCCTAATTATTTATCTACTCACATGACTATTCTTTGCTTTTCTGTACACATTTTAGAATAAGCTTGCCAATTTCTACAAGAAAAAAAGGAAAAAGAAAAACACCTACTGGGTTTTGATTGGGATTATACTGAATATGTGTATCAATTTTAGAAAAATTGACATCTTAACAATATTGACTCAATCTACAACTATCCTATTTTTACTTAGTTCTTCTTTAATGATTTCTCATCAATGTTATGTAATTTTGTTATATTTATGCCAAAGTATTTAATATGTTTGGTGCTACTGTAAAAAGTGCTTTTAAATTTCAATTTAGAGTTCTTATTAGGAAAATACAGAAATATAATTTATTTTTGAATATTGACCTTGCATCCTGTGATCTTGCTAAACTCATTTTAAAAAGAAAAAGAAATTCTTACAGAATTCCTACCCAGAAATCCAGATCATTTATAAATAGAACATTTTATATCTTTCTGATCTACATGCCTTGAATTCCTTTTCTTATTGCATGTGCTAGGACTAGCAGTATGATGTTGAATAGGAGAGGTGAGAGCAGACATCCTTGCCTTGATCCTCCTCTGAGAGGGAAAGCATTTCAAGTCTGACTACTCAGTATGGTATTAGCCGTCAGATTTTCATGGATGCCTTTTAAAACATTGAGGATGTTCTCTTTAGTTCCTACTTTGGCTTTTATCATAAATAGGATGTTGAATTCGGCCATTTACTTTTCACATATATTTTCAAGAAATTGATTTCCATGTTCATAAATAAATAAATTCCTTAAGGACACCGGTATTTACGAAGTTTTGTGTCTGCAGCACAACAGTAATGGGGCTTTATCATTCAGGCTGTGCTTTACGTCAAACCCCTAACAATGTAATCTACGACTTCTGACACCACACAGTAATAGCAGCAGTCCCACGGGATTTCAGAATCACCTGCACTTTAAAAAAAAGGATGAAAGAAGGACGTAGAAAAAGACAGTACCAATTAATTAGGGATAAGCTCTATTTGGGACCAGTAAGGACTCATACTCATTTTTGTTTGATTTGTCCTGCTTTTTCAAGGCTTCTGTCTTCTTTCCTACCAAAACATGGCTAGATATAAAATTTTCAACATCTCTAGCTTGTGGGAGAAAACCTAAATGTCAATTTTTTTTCATTCTCATTTTTCCATTTTTCTGTCAAAGAACATCTCAAAGCTCTTTTGTCTCAGTGAAGAGGACTAGCATCCTACTGTTTCAATGAATGATCCTCAGCGACTTTATTTAGATCAGAAAGCCAGACATCGTCTTCACACCCCTTCAACCTCAACCCTCCTCTAGATCATATTGAATTTCCCTCTGTATGTGAGACCCTTCCTTAAGCCGCATGCCACTGTGTGGTTGAAGCCCTTATCATTTTTCCTGTCTTACATCAAAGGTCACTTTGCTGGTCTTTAGATTTATACCTGGTCTTCATGCTTTCAGTTGGATCATGAAGATCAAGCTATTTCTCAGCCTTAAATTATCCAATGTTCAGGTCCTAGTGCCCTCAGGATAGTGTCCACATACCTTTCTTCTGCTTATAAGGCCCACTGTGCATGATTCCATATCTAGAAGCCCCTTAGCCACCCAGTCTATCTCAGTTGGAAAGAAAAAACAATGTGCCTAAGGCACCGCAGATTTCCCATATAGAGAAAAGGGGGCATTCATTGTTCTGTAGCCATCGCTCTTCTGACTGATAGAATAAGAAAGAGCCCTCCATGCAGAGAACAGTCCTACGACTTTATGTGGGGATGAGCCTTAAGCCTAAAATAGATGTACAAGACAAGGCCAAGGAAACTCTCAATTACTGTTTCATTAATAACTTAGAAATTACTTAGCAGGTCTCTAAATACTTAAACTATTTGTAAATCCATATACCTCTGCATCCCCATGGTCACAAAAGTTTAATTTTCTGGTTTCTCAACCTCAGCACTACTGACATTTTGGACCAGATCATTCATTGCTGCGGAGGGCTGTCTTGCACATCATAGGATATTTACCAGCATTCCTCACCTCTCCCTCTAGATGCCGGTAGCATTCAACCCCCCAACAATTGTGACAGCCAAAAAACATCTCCAGACATTGCCAAATGTCCACCGAGGGGGAAAAACTACCTACCATGGAGAATCACTTCCGTTAAATGAAAAGGTGCTATGTGTTCAAGTTCATGGCAGGAAATTTGTAAGAAAGAAGCCCTAAGGACTAGGGGTAGTGACCTCGGTCAAAGCAGACACTTCCCCAGGGATGGTAGCAAATGGAATAAGGGGGAGGGAGGAAGCCAGTCTGGGCCCCTGAAGGGTTAAGATCAGAGCCAGCACTGAAAACTGTGTGTGACGTATAGAACAATTTTCTATAGTCACAAAATCATTGTACTCCCCTGAATGCATCCTGAGCTTACAACCTCATCTCTCTGCACATAATTTTTCTCTCCACGCAATATCCTATGTCATCTTCATGTGATTGTGAGAGGCCTACTGGCAGAACAGCAAGTAGAGATGCCAAAGATTAGGGATAGTAGGTATAATGGCAGACAGTTTTTTACAAGTGTATATAAATGTTTATAGGCCAATATCAGCTTTGCTTTTTAACTAAGCAACTTCTGCTATGTATCCCCATCAATCCACTGCATTGTTAGATCATCTCCTATGTTGAGCTCCTAGATTAAAATTTTATTGTAGGGTATACTTTTAACATAAATAAATGTTTCTCCCATTCCCATTTTAAGTCCTGGAAATAACTAAAAGCATAAATAATTAATGCATCAGTCTCCATATGTATGGATATGTATACTCATTTCATTCCCTGCTGAAAATAAATATTTTCTGTGAAACTATATTTGAATTTTAAAATTCTGGTTTAGAGTGTTAATACATTGAATATACAAAATAGTACGTCCCATTGATTTAACGTAAACACACAGACACACAAACTGGAAAAAAAAAGAGATTAAAAGTTGAAATATGTCTGATAAAACTGGCATTTGATTCTACTGATGCTCTAATTTCACCACAGGCCCAACAGTAGAAAACTCACATTCTTCACAATTTTACGCAGCACTGAGGCTTTCCTAGATGGATGATGGCATGCAGACATTTAGGAATGCTGGGATATGTTTACAAACCAATCAAATCGAGATGCTTAGTGGGTTCTTTCTCTTAGAATCTGAACAAAGCTTGCCACCAAGCATTTATCACAGGGCTTTGCACTTTATAAGGGTACCTTGTTTGTTGACTGACTGGAAGAATTACCTCAGGCACTGCTCATGCATTTTCACAACAGACGTGTGATTAATTATTCTATGATAGAAACATGACTCGTGCTCAGCCATGTTTACAGCCCACTGCCAGCACTTACTGTCTCCCCGGCAGAGCAGAGGTCCCAGTTTATAAGCTGCTTCTGAGTGCGGTCGGCCCGTGTCTGTAACCACTATCTTCCTCACCGGCAGATGTTCCTTATAAGAAAGGAATCCGGTGTCATTGGTCCTAAAAAACAGTAACAACAACAAAATTCTTAAAATTATTCTGATTAACATAATTATAAAATAAGCAATAGCCCTTATTGCATTTCAAAGCCAAGATATTCTGAGGTAAGTCTGCACATGCAAAAGAACAAGGATCAAATTGCCCATTTGAGTGAAAATATGGCCACAGTTTAATGTCTCCTGCAGACTGACTATAGTTGGTGATTTTGAAATTCAGTTGACCATTTTCTTTAAGTAGACTGTTTACAGCAAGGTGATCATTTTGTAATGTATGAAGGCATTAAATCACTGTGTTGTAAACCTGCAGGTAATACAATATAGTATGCCAATTACAATTCAGTAACAAAAAAGAAATAGAAAATAAATAAATAAATACATAAATAAATGATTAATTACACTTAGTGTAATGACTGATACTGCGGTTTTAGATCTGCCAAATTGGTATTTGTTTCTATTTTTTCCCATAGGATTTCTTGTATTTCTGCTCCCTCTCTCCTACTTTTCTTGGTTTACTCCATATTTCTTTGTATTCAATTTTATTTTTATTCACTGTTTAGCTATATGTCTGTTTATAGTATTTTAATGTTTGCTTTATGGATCCTTACATAATGCATCTTTAATTCATCCACTTTAGTTAGATTTTGTGTTATATTACTCAATATAAAATATTAGAAGCTGACTACAGAATAATATCCTTACCCCCTGCCCACATTCCCCCTCAATACACACCTGTTCCTTGGGCTACTGCTGTCATATATTTTAAATCTAGATGTCATAGATGTTATAATACAGTTAAATGGTAAATTTTCTTTTTGAATTAAAAAAAAAAAGAATTTAAACCCCAGCTTTTCTATTTACTGACATATTCATGATTTCCAGTGTTCTTCATTCCTTCCTTCCTGAAGATCTGAGTTTTCATCTGGCATTATTTCTCTTTAGCCTACAGAATTTCTCTTAGTATTTCATATAGTGCAGTTCTGTGGGTAACAAATTCAGCATTTGTTTAATCTGAAAAGGACTTTATTTTGCCTTCATTTTTGAAATATCTATTTGTTTTGTATAGAATTCCAGGTTGACATTGCTTTCTCTTTCAGCACATCAAAGGTATCATCCCATTGTCTTCTGACCCATGTTTCCGATGAGAAGTCAGCCTGCATTTGTACCTTTGTTCCCCTGCATGGAATATATTCCACCAGATCTATCCAACCTGGCTGCTTTTAAAATATTTATCTTGATCATTGTTCTTTTGGGTTTTTTATTTTTTATTTTTTAGCAAACTGAACAATAAGCCAAAGTGTGGTTTTCTCTGTTTTCATTCTGCTTCAGACCCTCTGAGTTTCTGGAATCTGTACATTGATGTTATGTTATATATGGGCTATGGCATAACAAAGTATCCTACAACTTGGTGACTTGAAACGACATTTATGATCCCTAGTTTCTCTGTGTCAAGAATCTGGGCAGAGCTTAACAGGATACTCTGGCTCAGAGCCCCTCCGAGGCTACAACTGAACTGCTGGCAACAACTGCCATCACCTCCAAGGGGAGGATCTGCTTCCAAGCTCGCTCCAGTGGCTGGTTGTTGGCAGTGGTCTGTTCCTTACCACTGGATGGACTGAGGGCCTTGGCTATTGACTGGCTGTTGGTTGATGATCAGCCTCAATTCCTTGCCACCCGGGCCTCTCCCCAGGACAGCTCACAACATGGCAGACTGCTTTGTCAAAACAAGAGTCAGGGAAAGAGGTGCAAAGAAATCAGAAGTCACAGTCTGTTGGAACCTAATCTCAGAAGTGACTCTCGCCCTCTTATCATATTCTATTTATTTGATCCAAGTCACAAGGTCCAGGCGACACTCACAGGGAGGAAATTACACAAGGGTGTGAATAACTGGCAGTGTGGCTCATGGAGGGCCATCTTGGGGACTTGCTACCACAGACGTTTATTAAACAAATTTGAGAAATTTCCAGCCATTGTTTTTTCAAATAGTTTTTGCCTTGTTTTATTTCTTATCCTTCAGGGACTCTGATTTCTTGCCTGTTAAATCACTGATATTTTCTCACAATCCACAAAGGTTCTGTTAATGTTTCTTCCAACCTTTCCCCCCACCCCACCTGCCATGTTCCTCAGATTAATGATTTTGATTAAGTTGTCTTCAGGTTCATTGAAGACTTCTTCTGCTAGATCTTATTTTCAAGTCCTTCCAGGAAAGTTTTCACTTCAGATGTTGTGCTTTCCTATTCCAAAATGTATTTGCTTCTTGAATACAGTTCTCATTTATCTGCTCAGTATGCCCTCTCTTCACTTGCGGTTATTTTTACCTTTAAGTCTTCAGGCATGTTTATAATAGCTGCTTTAAAGTTTTTGCCTACTAATCAAACATCAGTGTCCCAGAGTCTATTTCTAATAACTACTATTATTTTTCTTAACTGTGGATCAAATTTACTCTTTTTGGGAATATATAACAATTGTTACAATGTTCTGAATATTATGAGTGATACACTATAGAGACTCTGGATTCTGTTATCATTCTCTGAAGACTTCCTTTTTTTTTCACAGCTAAATCACAGTCGTATCATAATAAATTGTGGAGGTTTGGTTTTATACCATCTTAGGTGGGCTGGCATCAGTTTTCTTTTTAGTTTTCAATCGTATTCAGTTTTGGAACACAGTCTTTGCTGTGAAGACACGAACCCTCTGTCATTTCTGAGGAAAGCAAAGGGGTTTACAAGCCCATCTCAATTAATGAGACTTAAACTCCAAATTCTGTCTCTCCTCTGGTGGTAGCCGCTGAAATGTCTCTAGAGCTTGGTCAGTTTCCCAGCTCTAGCTGTCTGCGTGGTTCCCTCCCCTGCGCATGTGCAGTGCAGGGCAGCCAGGGATCTGAGTAGGGGTGATAGATTGAACTCCGCCCAGGTACTTTCTTCTTTCTGGGATTTCTACTCCCTCCTCAATTTTTAGTCATTTTGGCAGCCCCAAATTTTGTCCTCGGCTACCTCAAGCCAAAAAGATCTAGTATTCCCTTAGAGCCCTAACCACTTCATGGCATGTGGTCTGGTTAGCGCCCTCATGGGAAAAGGCATGTAAACATCTTCTCATCCACTTGGATTCCCTTCTTCAAGGGTCCAGGTCCCCCCCACAACATTTGGTTGTTCCCCACTTTCTTCAAGTAGGTGTTTTTATAAATATATTTCCTGGAATTATAAATGTATTTGAGGAAGGTTAGCTCTATGCAAGCTACTTCACAATGAGCAGAATTTAAAAGAGAAGTTTCGAAATTTTCTTTTTAAAAATTATTTTTGATGAATAATATGTTATAGAGGCATTGGAGAATTCTTGGTGATTAGGTGAATTTTTTTCCAGTTAAGCATTGCTATTAGCATTTTATTTGCATTTTAAAATACACTATTATTGTGTAGGCATTGTGTGTGTGTGTGTGTGTGTGTGTGTGTGTGAAGGCAGTGAGAGAAAGAGTGCCTTCTAAAGGAAGTAGATATTCTGAAAAATTGGAGCTCAAGCAAGCAAGACAATATTCTTCATACCAAACATGTAACACTAGAAGTCTAATCATGACTCCATATGGATACCTCCTTTTAGGGTATCCTAAAAGAATCTGTTTTTTAATATAATACAGCCTTGATGTTTGCCAAATAAATACACAGAGTATCACACAGCTCAAAATGTGAGCTCAATTAACAACAGACTGTGTTACTGAAATTAATGTACATTCTGTAACCAAATCAATGATTTTTGCGCCAGACTATTAGTATTTTTAAAAATAACTCTTATGTACAGAGTTGCTTATGTAGGATGTAGGATATGCATATGGTATGTTGAAATGTGAATACAAAAACTGAAAAACAGGGGCGCCTGGGTGGCTCAGTCATTAAGTGTCTGCCTTCAGCTCAGGTCATGATCCCAGGGTCCTGGGATCGAGCCCCGCATCGGGCTCCCTGCTCCGCAGGAAGCCTGCTTCTCCCTCTCCCACTCCCCCTGCTTGTGTTCCTATTCTCGCTATCTCTCTCTGTCAAATAAATAAATAAATCTTTAAAAAAAACCTGGAAAACATTTCTCTTCATGATTAAAAAAAATCAATGTACATTTCAACTCTAGTCTCAAATATAATATCTTTTTTAATTTTTCAAAGGCAAACATATACGTAAGACTTCTACTTAAAAGACTATTTCAGACTCAGTTTTAAAATCCCTAAATGTTTTAGATTTCCTTTTTCAAGATATAATAAATAGAATATTAGTTCTTTGCAGCATGGTTTGTCCTTAAAAAAATTAAAGAGCTACATGTTCAAATAATTGTAAGAAATTCTAAGTTCACCTGTTTAAAGGTTTTATAGGCAGATTACTGAAGAAATGTCCTTTAGTAATTAATGCTTGTAAATATATTTTGAGAGCAACAGAATTCTTTTTTTTTTTTTTTGTATTTCATGAGAACAAGCACTTTTTTTTTTCAGTTTCTTTTTTTTTTTTATTCTTATGTTAATCCCCATACATTACATCATTAGTTTTAGATGAAGTGTTCCATGATTCATTGTTTGTGCATAACACCCAGTGCTCCATGCAGAATGTGCCCTCCTCAATACCCACCACCAGGCTAACCCATCCTCCCACCCCCTCCCCTCTAGAACCCTGTTTGTTTTTCAGAGTCCATCGTCTCTCATGGTTCGTCTACCCCTCCGATTTCCTCCGCTTCATTCTTCCCCTCCCGCTACCTTCTTCTTCTTCTTTTTTTTTTTTTCTTAACATATATTGCATTATTTGTTTCAGAGGTACAGATCTGAGATTCAACAGTCTTGCACAATTCACAGCGCTTACCAGAGCACATACCCTCCCCAGTGTCTATCACCCAGTCACCCCATCCCTCCCACCCCACCCCCCACTCCAACAACACTCAGTTTGTTTCCTGCGATTAAGAATTCCTCATATCAGTGAGATCATATGATACATGTCTTTCTCTGTTTGACTTATTTCACTCAACATAATACCCTCCAGTTCCATCCACGTCGGAGAGCAACAGAATTCTTAATTACACTTAATTTTAAAGAGAATGATAACTGACTTATAATGAAGAGGAAACAAGAAACAGATGCCTCTATTTCATCTTATTACAAAAATAAAATGTAATGATTTATGGCCCACTACCAAAAAATTAAAAAAAAATATTGGTCTTAACTTTTAGGATTCGGATTGATTGTGACAGATTTCATCAAAACACACCTTTATTTAATTTCTTCATTGTACTAATTTGTTCAGTATCTGCCTCACTACACTATATGTTCTGAGTGAGTCATTTTTAAATATAAACTTTATTTTGCATAAGGAAATCATATGGAAATCACCATTCATTCCGGTCAGCATCACAGTTGCAGTAATACTGAGAATCGATGCAGTTCCCTTCTAATCCACATGTACATTTTTGAGGATCGGGCGAAGAACCTCCCCAGTACGTTTGCGTTTCATTGGTTCTGCCAACCCACCAACTCAGAGGGCTTCCATCTGAAAAACAAATGTGAGAAATGTGACATCTGCTCTATGCCCCACAGCCTTCCAGCGCAGGCCAGTCGCTTCCTTCCCAAATCATTCAGAAGAGTAAGAGAAGGAAAAGAAAGATTGATTTGATGCAGTGATATTCCAAACATGGCTCTTGCTGGCATTGCCTTAAGAAAGCTTTTTAAAAAATGTTTTATTATTTAAGCTTAAAAGGAAAATGTATTTTTCTTTAAGTAGGAAAGAAATCAGCAGTTCCTATTTAGTTCAGGCATGGTACTTAAAAAATGTTTTGAGAGCAGTTCACCTATGTTATTTCTTTAAAAATAATTTTTGAAACAAGAAGATATCAAAATATAAACCATAGTAATTAACATATCAGGAACAAATTTGAGTTGAGATCATGAAATGCCCATTAAAACATTATGGAAAGTCAGTGGTTTATCTCAATATATTTATTGGCTAAAATCATATTGGCTGTTTATTAAACATTAGGCATGATATGGTACTCCCTTGTTATGATTTAAGATCTATTTGGAAGTATGTATTTTTTTTTCTTCCATTTAATGGCTTGGCTATTTATTTGGAGACTACAGAAATAACACTAAAAGATCTTTATGCCTGAAGCAAACACTACACTCAAAAACAGAATTTCCCTTAGCCAAATGCATTTCTTTCTATGATGAATGTTCAGCTTCCAGCTCCTTCTCAGAGTTATGACTAAACATGATGCCAAAGAACTAGAGTAAAGAATAGACAGCACATTCAGGTGAGGAATGCAGGCCAACTGTCTTCAAAAAAAAACAATAGGTAGAGAGGAAAAATCACAGTCGTTTGATAATCAGGGCATGAGAAGAATGTGACATCAAATCAGTCAGCTCCTCAAAGGTGTTAGATCATTTTTCTGTTGACTTTCAAAACTTCTAAGTTATTGCCATGAGCCTTACTGAAAATCTGGGACTTGTACTAATTTCTCCCTTACCTAAGAAAGAAAATACTTATAACAACTTACTATTAGATTGAACCTCTACTAATGCCAACAACTCTTCTCCCAGTGTTACTATACATACCAGCCCATATCACGCCAAAAAACTCGAGTTAATTGGAAGCTTGTGTATGGACAGAGACATTAAAATCAAGATTTTTCATCTTTTTTTTAAATTACAGGATTAACTCATCAACAGACGGTGAAACCCACCTTGAAATATTTAATAGATATTTTTCAATATATTGCTTAAAACACTGTGTTCAGGGGAGAGGGGTGGGAGGATGGGTTAGCCTGGTGATGGGTATTGAGGAGGGCACATTCTGCATGGAGCACTGGGTGTTATGCACAATGAATCATGGAACACTACATCTAAAACTAATGATGTAATGTATGGGGATTAACATAACAATAAAAAAATTAAAAAAAAACATTGTGTTCATAGGTTAAAAAGAAAATAAATTATTTCTAAATATTGAATAATCTTGTCACCTCTAAATTTCTGATCCTCCCTATAAAATAGACACCACTGAATGTTTTAAATGTACTAAATACATTTGGTTCCCTTTAAGACTTTTTGAAGTGTCCTAAAGAATTTAAATAAGTATAAGAAAGAACGAAGAAAATCATGAGAAATTATTTAAGTTAAAAATTAAAATTACAATGGGCGCCTGGGTGGCTCAGTCATTAAGCGTCTGCCTTCGGCTCAGGTCATGATCCCAGGGTCCTGGGATCCAGTCCCACATCGGGCTCCCTGCTCAGTGGGGAGCCTGCTTCTCCCTCTCCCTCTGCCTGCCGCTCCCCATGCTTGTGCGCTCTCTCTCTCAAATAAATAAAATCTTTTAAAAAATTTAAAATTATAAAATATCGGTGATCGTGGTCAGACGTTCCACTTCCTGTAGTTAAAATACCAAATGACTTGGAGTCACAGCTCCACAGCTTGCTGAAAATGTATTTACATACACATCCCACCTTATTCATCCACAGTAATGGCACCATTATTACTTAAAAGTTCGGTATCTTCAAGATCTGAAACTGTAAATTTAACTTGTCTGACACCTCCTTCCTGTTCGTCTCCATGTATTTCTTATTGTGAAAACAAAATCCAAATTGTTCTCTCTCTTTTCCAACTCAAGTTCATTCTACATGAATTCTAGGGTGATGGACCTGAGGAAAATCTGTGTATTTAACAATTATCATCATCCTTTGTTCAGTGGCCTTTTCTAGAAATTATTTTCTTTACTAGTGGCTCTGAAGCCTGGCTGAAACGCCAGGAGAGTCTTAGCAAAAGATACATGGGCACCACTGGCCATGAAGGTAGGGGTTCCTTCACGCTCTCTATTGCCCTCTTCATGTGGTGCTTGCTCACTAACCCTGTGGGGATTTTGTTTTCCGGTTCTTTCAGAGTTTGGCTCATTTATGACTTTGATGTTGGTCTTCCCTTGTATCTTTCTTTTCTAATTAAGCAATTCCATTCATTTTGTTGCATCCCATTCATTTATCCTTCTATAATTAAGGTTCTCATTCTTAGAATACAATTCCATATTCGTTTATCTATGTTTTTAGATTCCAAGATCAATATTTAGCAACAATGAACAACTGAACAATCGCTCGCCCACTCAACTGCTATGTTAACTATAACCGTGATGCACCAGAGAGCTGGTAAGAGAAGGTCACTTCAGGCACTGTGTATGTGTTGTGACATGCCACCCAATCACCGCCACACCCCATTACTGGCCCTGTGTCACAGAAGAGAAAGCAAAGCTGATAAAGACTCATCTATCCAAGCTCTCTACTTAATCAATAAGAGCCCTGGAATTTGAACTTACATCTCTCCCTGCCTTTAAATCTTATGCTCTTTGCACTACAACTATCTGATGGTCATTCATAAGTGGGATTGAGGTTTCAAGGGGAAAAGATTTGAGGGGAGACCAGCAAGATGGGAAGGGTAAAAGGCCAGAAGAGGACCTTATGAAATAGAAGAAGATGGAGGCAAAGAAGGAGGAGAGGGTGTGAAGCCAGGCAAAAGGGAGAGAATAATCCAATTATATTCTGTGGGTGGAGAGTAAGTAGAAAAGGTACTTAACTAGAAACGACAGGTTCAATTGTCATCCCAAGAGTTCAAAATCTTTCTGCTTGATCTACATGACATATGACATTCACATATGAAATGCACGTCTCTTAAAATTCTTGTCATGCTATCCGGACCTCTCTTAAGATAACAAGCAGGGGTAAACATTCACCAACTGGCTTTATCATGCAGATGTCTTAGAATCATCTCTAATTTCTAAAGAAAAATACACCTCGATATTGCTGCTAGAAAACAGTGTGTTGGGGAGTGGCATCAAACTGGCCTAAGCAGGGTGTGGGTCCAGAATATGCATTTATGATACCCAGATAGAAGAGTCTGTTTGGGACAGACAGAGAAGAGGAAGGTACCAGGCTCTGTAAGGAGAAAAGTGTCATGATGGAAGCAGAGTTTCTTAGAGGTTAATTCCCGTCGTAGAGTGCATATTGGGTGGTGAGAAGGTATGGAGAGATGCCTACAGGAGGCCGGCTGGAAAGTTCCTGCAGTAATTCAAGAGCGTCAGTAAGGTCCACACTAAGGCAAAACCGGGGGGACCCAAGATATTGGCACATAATGAGATGTTCTAAAGGGAAAACAAACCAAAAACAGAATTGAGGAGTTATTAGAAGTAGAATAAAAGAAAGAGTTAAAAGAGGTTTTCTGATTTCTACATAAATTGCTGAATAAACTGTTTCCGGCAATCTATTCTAATTTACAGTTTTACCCAGCAGCTAAGTGCCAACAATCCATGAAGAGTCCCACAGAATAGTCACTTTCAGAAAAGTCAATCATATTTTCGTTAGCTCTTTTGCATGACAGAACAAACCATAAATGTCACTTGCCCTTTATAAGGGACAAACACTGAGCATCCATCGAGGAGCCCAATGAAGCCCTTTTTTGTAGAGTTATCTGATGAAGGCCACAAAGAGACTCTGAAGGCAATCAAGGCTTTGAACAAAGCCCAGCGTAAAGTGATCTTGTTCTTTTCTTCAGGCAAAAGCATTGCTGTGGCTTCCAGACTGTGACATGTTTGCTAAGCGTACAGGGGGCAGACACTCTCAAGGGGCTATATGCCACCACCCTGGCATCATTAATATCCACAGGAGCTGGTGAGGTCAAGTGCACGGTGCAAGGTGCACAGCAGGACACATGCCTCAGTTTCCTTACCTTGTTTATTGACAAGTCGTGACTTCTTGCAGTAGTAGGTAAGCTCCTGTTCACAGTGCTCCGCAAGGTTAATTGTGGCCTGGAGCTGCTCCATGCTGGCCACATATTCGAAAAACCCAGCATATGGGTTCTCTGGGTTAGTGTTTCTGACTCTTGTTAGGTCAGAGCCATTGTGCTGTATGACGGTCCATGCAGTTTCTTGTATGCAGAAATGGGGAAGAAAGAGAGGAGACCATCACTAGTCTGCAAAAGTTAAAATAAATAAAGAAAATCAAAATCACCTTTTATCTGAGTCAAATTTTTCTAGTCATCAAACCTCTCTGAGAGGTAGAATTAATACAAATGGATTCTTAAAATTTTTAAATTATAGCAAAGTGATTCTTTTCCCTGAAGTTTATACGATTGCCATGCATTTGCAGTGACTTTATTTTACTTTTGTAGATTAATTTAACCAGAAAATGTTTACGGTGAAAAATATTAAGGAAACAAATTATTAAAATTTGTGACACATCTCATTTCATCGAATCCAATATTCTACTTTTTAAAGATGCGTCGTGATTTTATTTTAGAAAAGAAAAAAAACAGATGCCTATTATAATTATAAAGCATTGTTGATTACGGATACACCCCGAATTCAGGGATGTTACAATGTGGAAAAAAAAAAAAGGTGTATCTTTGAATTTCTAAAATATTTTAGATTATATAATGTAAGCAATGACTTTTCTACTCTTAAAAATCATTCCTGTTACCAGCAAAAGGAAAGTCAAATTTTTATGACCTATATATATCTCTCTTCAGAGAACATTTAATTATGAGTGCACAACAATTTCTTTTTAAATCGAATTTTAAATATTCATTTTGGTATTGTGTGATGTGCATCGTTATGCAGGGCCATAGGAAGTTACTCCCTTGAGCTGAACACATCTGACAGAGCAGCAGCAACTCAACTAACACAAAAAATAAAGTACCTCTGAGTATTTACTAGAGTAATTGCCATTGACACCTGAATGTCTGTAAACATTACCATCATAATGACTACCAAAATTTTTAAATGAAATAAAAATCCTACAATGTTTGTAACAGAAGATAGGCACTTTATATCTAGCCTTCAACTTCCCCAGAAATTGACTTCACATTATATTTACTGTGATAGATGCAAGCACATGAACAGATTAATCAAAAGGCCTCTGATTTAATAGGTAAGAAACAGATTGGAAGTTGTCAAAACCATGCTATATATATGCTGTTAAGTCACATAACTCTTCTGTATTACAGAGGACTATTCCAAATTGGAGGAAAACAATAGGTAGAATTTCCTCCCCTCTCTGTAGCTAATACATTCACACGGATCGGCAACTGGAACAAGATAAGAAATTTCACTCGCACCCCTCTCCAGGTCACCAGAATTTTGAATAGAGAGGTCTGCTAAATAAGACAGGAGACAACTTTGACAGTCTTATTGCCTTCCATGCCCCAACGTTATTTTTCTTGGAAACAATAGCTGTTACTTTTATTGCTGCCTTGCATTTTGGCTCACGGTAGAGCTTTATCGGTAAATTAATTTCCTTCAAGAGGACATGATATATAAGCTATTGGCATTAATTGTGGATGGCCAGACAGTGATATGGTATAGAGACCATCAGGATATCTGAATTGGAGATCTGGAGTGGAATGTGAGCTTAAGGAAAGTCAGGTAAAACCTGAGCCTCCATTTCCAAATTTTGGAAAATAAAGTGGCAGCATAAAGGAGACAATAGGGTAGGTCTGAAATTCTCTGATTTTAGCCAACTCAACCCTGGCTATTGGAAGTTTAGGATTATTAACCAGGCAATTCTGTTAGCCTAACCTCCACTGGACTCTGCTTTTTTGTTCGACAGAACATTCTTCTTTCCTTGCGGTGAATCAATGGCCTGCATGAAGAAGCTCAACTGGCTGAACAGCTGCCAAAGGAGCAGGACAATATACCTGCATGAGGCCTTTGTCTCTTTGCCTTTGGGTCACACGGAGAGGGCCTTCCCTGCCACTCAGCATCCACGGGGTCACAATTAACACATGATCCCAAAGGTCTTTTAAGGTGTTGTAAATTTCATCCAAGGCCAGAGCGCTGGACAATCCTTAAAGGACAGCGCACAGAAATGTTTCTACTTTTGACATTCTAAAATTTCAGTATCATGGTAGTTTCTGTAAGTGATTTCATTTTCTAATAAAAAGTGCTACAAAATATGAAGTTAAATAGATGCTGCATTTCTTAGATAATCTAGATTTCCAGGGCAAAGCAGAGACAATGGAATCATCACAACAGGTTATGAACGCCGGAAATGGGTGACCAGCAGCCATGCTCCAAATCTGATGTGCTTTGCTAACAGGGGTATCCCTCAAGATTACTAACCCAGGGCCTCTTTACTGCTTTTTCAAACATGACCGCATTACCTGATGTTTAGAAATTACAACTGTAAAGGACACTGCCTTTCTCACAATTTGTAATTCAGTATTTTGTAACTTATTCTATGGGTCTTCTCCACTCATCTGTAGGCTGTACGAGAAGAGTGATAGTTTCTGATTTGCTACCCACAGTATCTGTAGCACATAGCACAGGGTCTTGGCACAACATGCAGAAGACATTAAAGAAATGATGGGTATTAAAGAGGGCACATATTGAATGGAGCATGGGGTGTTATATGCAAATAATGAATCATGGAACACTACATCAAAAAAAATAAAAAAAAAAGAATTAGGGAATAAATGAATAAAAACAATATGCCGTCCAGACTAGAGTACTGATCCCCTGATCCCCTATGGTGCTGTGAGACTTTTGGTGTCTTGTAACTGTTTTAGAACTCTGTAAATTGTAAATGATAGTTCTGCAAATTAGTAAGTCTGAAACTATGAAGGGTATGCGATGTTTTCCTACTTGCAAGTTAACCAGTTATCTTGCCTCCTGTCCGAATTAAATCGATTTATCTGTATCTATCCAGATGGATTTAGCTGTAGACAGATGGATGATCGAGAGCTTCACTAACAGACATGGGAGTCCCTGGATCAGGGACTATTTGGTCACAGAAAATCCTAGCAGCATCTGTTCTCTACTGCCCAGTTTCCCAGAGGCCAATAGAGGAGTGCCAGATACACCTGTACATGCTGGAATTGTTCCACAAGAGAGGAACCCTCAGGGCACCTGGGTGGCTCAGTCCATTGGGCGTCTGCCTTCAGCTCAGGTCATGATCTCGGGGTCCTAGGATTGAGCCGCCTGTGTTGGGTTCCCTGCTCAGCAGGAAGTCGGCTTCTCCCTCTCCTTCTGCCCCTCCCCCTGCTTATGCGCGTGCTCTCTCTCAAATAAATAAATAAAATCTTTAAAAAAAAAGAGAGAGAGAGAGAGGAAACCCCCAAATTATGAGACTTGGAGGTTAGAGGGGATGGCTCGCGCATCTTCTCCTCCCCTTCACAGAGGGAGAGAGGAATTCTGGCTTTGGAATGCAAGAGATCTCTGAGGAGATGCACCAGTCTGCAGGGTTTTTTTGTTCACTTTTAGAATGTAGGCAAATGGGGGCGCCTGGGTGGCTCAGATGGTTGAGCATCTGCCTTCGGCTCAGGTCACAATCCCAGGGTCCTGGGATCGAGTCCCGCATCGGGCTCCCTGCTCAGTGCAGAGCCTTCTTCTCCCTCTCCCTCTGCTTGTGCTCTTCTGTCTATCTCTCTGTCAAATAAATAAATAAAATCTTTAAAAAAAAAAAAAAAGAATGTAGGCAAATGCATCTGGGGACAATAAACCTTCTAATCTCTCTAGAGAAAGTCACTATCTCTAACTTCCAAGACACATTTATATGAAATTACCCTTTAACACAGGCTTCCAGATTTACTTATTTATTTATCTATTTGCCTCACTTACTTATTTGCTTAGCAAGCAAGGCATTGTTTCCTCTCAAGAAACTATTGTCCATGCACCAGCAAATGCCACCTGGCAGAAGTTCAATGGACTCCCCTCCCCCACCACCCACTATGGAAGAAGCCAGTCCCACCTCCATTTGCACATTAATTTCAATAGTACTGATGAACAGATACGTCTGTTCCTTGGATTCTCCTTTGAACTGGCTGTAACAACTTACCAGTTTCCTCATTAATAATGTGTTAGACAAAATCTTTAAAATATGTTTTTTAGTTTTTATTTTTATATCTGTGTAAGAGTCGTGATTTTATTTTATTTTATTTTATTTTATTTTATTTTATTTTATTTTTGAAAACTGTACTTTACCCAAATGCAAAGAGAGTTAGTTGTTGCAATAAAGCAGACAAAGGGACATGAGTCAGGAAAGACAGCTGCAATGGGCAGAAAAATCTATGAAACTTAAACACTGAAAGGCAGTTTGGGTCCTACCAGTGTGTCTCCCTGAAGAGACTTCTAATATATGGATTGTATGTAAAGCACCTGAGTAATTAAGAACTTGATTTATCTTCTACTGGCTGCTATTTTTTAGCGTGATAACAGTGTAAAGAAAAAACATGCTGTTTAAGCAACACAGCTGCAGAGCTCGTGTTCCTTCAGGATTCATAGCAGAGGGTGATAGATGTGATTAAAACCTGGGAGGTCAGGTAGGAAGAGCTGTGTTCAGGAAAGCCTGGGAGAAGAAAGGGAAGAACAGCCAGCATTGTGGAACAGAGCGTGATGTCCACAAGGCTGCATCTGAATAATGATCGTTAGTTATTAACTCTCAGAACTATCAAGAAGGCCTTATTGTTGAAATCCCTAAAGTAAAATTTTATTGTTATAAATCTCATACTCTCCAGCCTTCCCAGGGGAGGGTCTCAGGAGCTCCTGTCTCAGAAGCACACGGAGAGCTCCTTCAGAGAGCAGAGAACCAGGCCTTGGTCCTCCAATTTACTGAGTCAGCAAAACTCTATCCAGGCATCTTGGTGGTGGTACAGTGGGACAGAGTGAGTTAAAGCCAGGGAATTAGCATTTGCACCAAAGTCTGAGAGCCAAGGCCCTAGCATTCATCAATCGCTCCCCACTAAAACAATTGTCCTGACAAGGCGATGTTTGAGAATGAGAACTGGATTTTTTTAAAGTTACACATTTGCAAGTTACTGATTCAACATTTTGTCTTGTTTTTATAATTATTATACTTGATTTATATAACTAGAGAATATGTTATTGGCTACAAGCAATGAGACATTGATAGAATGTAGCCTTTTCTAGAAGA